TTTCAGTTCATTTTCTGGGCCAACCTAAAATGTCCCCCCCCCCCCCCAGCCACACAAAACAACGAGGAAGAGGCATTCAAAAGAACGGCAATGACTTTCAGGGTACACGTTGTGCAGAAAACATACAAAGCTACCCTGGTGCAAAAGTGAAATGGTGCCCAGATAAACTGCACCTCTTCGATCAGTTGCTGTGTCACCCAGATTTGTGGGTGTGTGCTCAGTTGTGGATGCCTGTTTACAGTGAGCCCAGGAAGCAGGGGAGGGGAGAATACTAGAGAGGAAGAGGGAGATGTATTAGCATCCCAGATAAAAGCATCAGAAGTAAGCCCCAACCTGCTATATAATACTTAGGATGCAATCGTATACCTGAGACCATAACCCATGCACAATGACATTTTGGAGCTAACACGACGACGGTGATGCTTTTAAGCCACTATGTAGTGCATAAATGGCCCTAACAACTAAACTGCACTCCTACGTAGCTTTTTCTCTGGTAATATCACACTACTAGCTAGACCATACAAAACATTTGCTAGACCAATACTTGAATACAGCTCATCAGTCTGGAACCCGCATTACGTATTTGATATTAATACAGTTGAGAAAGTCCAGAAATATTTCACAAGAAGAGTTCTCCACTCCTCCACTCGTTGCAGAATACCTTATGCCACCAGACTCGAAGTTCTAGACCTAGAAAACCTAGAACTACGCCGCCTTCGGTCCGATCTAAGTATGGTATATAAAATCATACATTGCAATGTCCTACCTGTCAATGAATACTTCACCTTCAACCATAACAACACAAGAGCATGCAATACAAGAGCATGCAATAGATACAAACTCAATGTAAACCGCACCAAACTTGATTGCAGGAAATATGACTTCAGCAACAGAGTGGTCAATGTCTGGAATACTCTACCTGACTCTGTGGTTTCTTCCCCAAACCCCAAAAACTTTAACCTTAGACTTTCTACTATTGACCTCACCCCTTTCCTAAGAGGTCTGTAGGGGGCGTGCATAAGCACACCAATGTGCCTACCGTCCCTGTCCTAATGTTTCTTTTTATTCGTATCCATTTCATGTATTCATAATTATGTTTATACTTATACCTGTTATCTTATAATCGCTTGACAAAATAAATAAAATAAAATAAAAATAAAAATGATGGCCTGGATCACGTGCGATAGATCCCAGAGCCCCTTTTTAGAGTAGCAGCTGCACTGGTAAAGTGGTTCGGATCTGGGGATTACGAAGGGAGTATGCTCTCGTTTCCGGAACGAAATCGAAGAGAAGTGCTTGTTGCTCCCTTCCTCTTTATTTCATGATTCGACTGTCTCTCCATCCCCTCCATTAAACCGCCAAGCACCAGAAGGTGCTTCGATGTTTTCGAAGAGCTTAAAAAGCCTGCTTTGTGACGTAGGCACAGAACCTCCACCTCGAACGTCGATTGGCTGAAGGGAGCGGAGGCGGCTACCAAACGCTGCTGTTTGTGTTTAAACGTTCCAGCGGGAGGGTGGGGGGTGAAGAACGTGAAGTAGGAGTGTTGTTGTGTTGTGTGTGTGTGTGTTTTCGGGCGGTGATCAATTCCCCGATCGGAGGGAAGATATCCCGCGGAGCAGCTGGGCTTGGAAGGCGATTCGCGAGATGGTGCTGCCGTCGCGGTGCGTGAAAAGCGAGTATATGAAGTGCTTTAAAGAACCGAAATGGGAGGCGTGCGGCCCCTGCTACCAGGAGTTACTGCGCTACCGGCTGAGCCGACGCCTCTTAGAACAGGCGCATCGGCCTTGGTTTTGGGACGACTGGGAGCAGGACAGCAGCCTGAACGGAAGCAGCGGCGGCGGCGGCAGCAGCGGCAGCTCCCCATCGTCCCAGGGCAATAACAGCCCTCCAGTTGTCCGGCAGCCCGAGGAGGAAAAGGCGCATCCTGCAGGGGAAATCGAAGTCCCCGGCGGTGATCTGACTTTCGACAGGAGGATCGGCGCGCCTGGAGAGGATGTGGCTTCCAGTCCGGCGCCGGCGGAGCCCCCCGACGGACCCGGTATGTGCTCCTCCAATGCCTGGGGAAATTGAAGGATGGGGCTGGGATGGCGGGTAGAGTCAACGGTCTTCTTGGAGTGACTCAGTGGCGTGAATAGAGGTCGAGGCGGTGGGGCTGAGCTTTGGGCTCCGCAGCTCAAGGCTCTCCGCCAGGCCTATCAGTCATGAAGAGAAGCAAAACAGCAACAACAACACAACGTCGCCATCCACGGCAGAATCGACGCGGGTCCCTCGAGGAACTTCTGCATTTGCCTAAGGCAACAAAAGCGGTGGATCCGAGCGCAGAGGGCAGGTGGAAGGGAGCGGCAGGCAGGCTAGTAGGCTCGAACCGTCTCAGAAAACAAGGGCAGTGCTCTCTGTACAGTATAGGCAGGCAAAGTGATTCCGGCCCCCACCTAAACAAAAAAAAACCAAAAAAAAAAAACAAAACCGACTTTTCCTTTCCGGACGCAATTTGTCCGGATTTTTGCAGCCCTGATGCAACCTCTTGCGCCCCTGCAGAGTACTCGAGCCATCGCTGCTACCCTTCGTCCCTTAGAGCCGCCCGTGTGTGCCTCTAGGCCGGGTACCAGAGCAGCGCTGCTCCCTCGGGTGTAACGGGTGAGGATGATTTGGGGCTGGTGGGGGGGGGCGAGAGAGCCCTCCCCAAGAGTCTGCAATGACCTTGAGCCGCTAGGCCGTTTGCCTCAGGAAGACAGGCGGGCGGAGGCGGGCAGTCGGTTTGCCCGTGAAATGGGGGCCGCTGGGAAGCCAGTTGGCCCGAATATTCGCTTTCAGGGGCTTCTTCCTTCGTGCAGTGGAGCTGCGTGTTTTGAATCGACCGAATTGCGAGGGGCGCGGAGGCTTTGGCTTGGATTTTTCGCTTTACGCTCTTCCGTGCAGGGCTAGCGGGTGGGAAACCGGTCGGCCTAAGGACCCAGCGGCCTTTTCCTGCGATCTTGACGTGTGTCTCTTGCCACTGAGCGGGGATTATGGCCCAGTTCTCCTCATGAGAGAACCCCATCTGGCAGGGAACGGGCGAAGGCGGATCGGCCTTTCTTTTCCTGCAGGAACCCGACTGGGGATGGGGAGGAGGCTGCTCTGCCTTGCGAGGTTGTGTGGGAAAGCTTAATCCATTACGGCTTGGGTGACCTTACTGCAAGGTGGCAGCTGGCTGATTTAGAGATCTGATCACCCAGGGACCAACTTCTAAGCTTTGATTTCCTTCCTCCTGTTTTTTTTAGCTTCCACCCTAATTAGGATCCCTCCCTCCCCCTCCCTCTCAGAGGAGAATATGTGGGTATACAGTTCTGGCCTTGTATTTGTTGCTATGCATTTCAACATGTTCCTGAGCTTTAAAGATCTTTAGTTACTTTAAAGTTACATAACTGCTCTGTGCTTTGTAGATTAAACACTGTCAAATGGCCTTATTTGAGTGGTAAAACAAGCTTCCTTTAAAGGTAAATCAAAGGTAAGCCCCTTGCTTTCTCTAAGCTACAAACTAACCATACTAACGCAACAGATTAACTGCTTTGAATCCAAGCTGGGTGCAGATCAGGTTTTGAAAACACCCTGTGCTAAAATCAACAGGCTTACTTGTGCCTAACTCTTAACTTGGTTGACTTCCAATCTCCAGAATTTGTCAATTTTAAAAGAAGACGGAACTATCATTTATTTCATATGTTTTACAATGCCATCAGGACAGAATCTTCTCAGGGCAGCTTACAACAAATGCAATCAGTGCATCCATGGTTGGAATTATACGTCATAATGTGAAACCACACATTTCACGAACAATCTCCTGCAATTAATTTGAAATATATTTTAATCTAACATGCTTCATCAGAACATCTGTTATTTGAAACTGTTTTCAAAGCCAGCCTCATAATATCATGAGTAGATTAAATAGATAATAGTAATAGAGTAAATATCCTATTTTGAAACTCATTCAAATGATTATCCTTCATATAGAGCAGGGGTCCCCAAGCTTGGCAACTTTAAGACTTGTGGACTTCAACTCCCAGAATTCTCCAGCCAGCATACCATAGGTCCCTCAGGTGTGCTATGCTATGCTGGCTAGAGAATTCTGGGAGTTGAAGTCCACAAGTCTTAAAGTTGCCAAGTTTGGAGACCTGATATAGAGACATAAATAACATAAGGAAGTTAGCAGAATAGCTGAGTATTTATCAATTTATATACCTCATGCTCCTGACAAAGCCAGACTATGACAGCCTGCTTTTGACTAGGGAATTCATGGTCTCTGAAACCATTTCCATTGTTTGCAAAATTGGCAGGATAATTTCCTACTTTTAAGATGGGAAACATCTTAAGTGCAACCCTTTAGTATGCTTAACATAACTCAAAACAATGTCCCTCAATCAACCTCTCGAAACCTGGAGGGGAAAACCCTAAGAAATCCCAATTTGGTCTTATGCATGCCAGGGGTCTTTCCTCTAAAATAATTCACCGGTGCTGTCCAGCTGCCAAAACATTGTTCACCATGGTCTCAAACACATCTTTGATTGGTTTGCAATCCCACCTTCTTGAAGACTTAATAGATACGTTTTCTGGTTCACTTGGAATTATATTAGCTGTAAGAGCCATGGAATTATATTAGCTATAAGAGTTGTGGTGGTGCAGTGGCTAGAATGCAGGCTAATTCTACCGACTGCCAGCAGTTCGATTCTCATTGGCTCAAAATTTACCTAGCCTTCCATTCTTCAGAGGTTGGTAAAATGAGGACCCAGATTGTTGGGGGCAATATCCTGACTCTGTAAAATGCTTAGAGAAGGCTGTAAAGCACTGTGAAGTGATATATACATCTAACTGCTATTGCTATAGGTCCACTCAGAGTTTAGTTTCAGTTCATTTGTGAAATACATTGGTGAGACTAGCACTTCGCTGGCAGATAGAAACCAATTTTACAAAAAGGCTCTGAAATGCTAATATTATGAAATGTGGTTCTCTTTCCATAGAATCTGCAAACAGAACAAATGGAAGACACATGTACAATTGATACATGGCATATATTATTATAAATGATAGTAGACAGAATAAATAGATCACTGGGCAAATTTTCAATATAGTGTTGCTAATTATTTAAGGATGATGTAATATGATACTGGCTTAGATGACCCTTAGTCATCTTGCTGGTGTCAGACTGATACCATGGACATTATTATATTTCTAATGTTAAAACTATTGTTTAAGTAGCCTTCTGTTACTCCTAATTAAATGGCTAAAGTACGGTCTTCCCCATAGCCTTTCAATAATAAGAATCATATTTATACAATATATACTCAACTCAGATAAGATTGGTGATTTTCAAACTGAAACACAGCTTGCTGCTTATGTAAGTCATTGCCATGGTAGCATGCACTTTAAAAGTTGCATAAGCTTTTAGATGCCAGCCAAAAATAAGCAGGATTTGCAGATTTTTGTGGGAATTGTAACACAGCCCCAAATGGCAGCAGCTGAGATGGAAGAGACACTTTTCCCCCCACCTCACACAGCACAATCTATGGTTCCTCCTGATCTGCTGTCTGCTTGGGGGAAAGTACTGGAATATTGTATGGCCATTTCTGGATGTCCTTCCTTTGCTGCTACAGCTTTACTGTTGGATTTAGAATCAGATCTAACTCTGGTTCACTTCTCCATTCACCTATGAGGTTTGAGGCAATAATATTTCTCAGACTAACCTATCTCACAGGATTGTTGGGAATTAAAGAAAATGGGAGGGATGACCAAGTTATTGAGAGCCACGGTGGCGCAGTGATTAGAATGCAGTACTGCAGGCTACCTGCCTGCAATTTGGCAGTTCAAATCTCACCAGGCTCAAGGTTGATTCAGCCTTCCATCCTTCCAAGGTTGGTAAAATTAGGACCCAGATTGTTGGGGGCAATATGCTGATGTTGTAAACCCCTTAAGAGAGGGCCAGGGGTGGGATTCTACTGGTTTGGACCAGTTCCCCCTGTGCTCCATTTTTTGCCTTTCTGGGCCTCAGGGAAGCCTTCTGGGAGCAAAAATGCCCCCCCCCCGAGACTTCCCTGAGGCCCAAGAGGAAAAAAAAAAGGGGGGGGGGTTGCTGCAAAAGAAGAAGCCACACCCACCCAGTCACATAGCCACGCCCACCTACCCACGCCCACCGAACCGCCTACAACCCTGGAGAGGGCTGTAAAGCACTGTGAAGCCGTATATAAGTCTACGTGCTGTTGCTATTGGCTCCTCGGGAAAGGGAAATTAAATGAATTTGATACAAACAACTATTTTTCCTAAGGTGCAAATGTGGCATAAGAGAGAATTAAAGTGAGCCACCTTGCACTCTTAAGCCTGCAATGGCTATTCTTCGGTTCTTAATCCATCAAAAGAGTTATGCCGCGAAAGTAGACGGGTAGATGAAAGTAGACGTATGCAAGTTTGAGCAGGCTAAAACAATGTTCATTTGCCATTTTCTTCCCAGAGGCTGACATTCAAGAACAATCTCAAGGGAAGGCTATTGTCAAGAAAGATGAAAGGACAACTGCAGGGAAAGGAATCGACAGTTCAAGTGGTGCGCAAATGCAGCCTTTAAGGCAGAAGAGTGTTCCTGGTAGACAAGGTGACAGAAAAGCAGCAAAAAGCCCACAAAAGACTGAAGCAACATTGGGAATAAAGCACCCATTTGCTTTGTACGGCTGGGGTGAAAAGCAGACTGACACAGGCAGTCAGAAGACACACAACGTCCGGGCATCTGCTTCAGTAAATGAAGTAAGCGAAAGAAGTATGTGTTTTAGGAAGATACTGGCTGGGGAATTCTGGGAATTGAAGTCCACCCATATTAAAGGTGGCACATTTGAAAAACACTGGTCTAAATATTCGGATTTATGCTTAGCCCTGTGTTAGGCAGCGTATTTGCGGTCCAAGATGAATTAGCATTTTGCTGCTTCCCTGCTTTTGTGTCATGGGATGCTGAACACAGTCAGAAGTAAACATTTTTTTAAATAAAAACTTTTTTATTGTGTTACTTATTGGATAGGATATCTAGGACATCATGCTCTAAGTTTTAGATTGTTCCCCTCCTATTGAGGTCCCTGTGTCTGAAGCTACTTTGGACACCTGCTTTATAAGAGCAGGCTCACCTTTGTCCAAAGACACTCACACTGGGAGATGGAAAAATCTTTGGATGTGGTTTGCCTGCCCTTTTGACCGACATGCACTTACTTTTTTGCTGCCTATGCACTTGTCTAGAGTAACATGGCCCATGTTAGCTTTTTGCTGGCCCATTATTCCAGTGTGAAAATAATTTTATTGTAATCATCAAGGGATTAATAATCCTATTATTATAAAATTAATAACCAGAGGAAATTATTCCCAATTAACTTTATTTCTCTCACTCTCTCAGCTATCCCTTAATCATTAACCCAAATCCATGATCCACTGAGACCAGAAACTATGCGAAATACCTTGTAGATTGCTAAATGGCACCTCTGCTAAGCTATCAACTGACAATAGCAAAACCAAACACCAAATCAAGTACCTGGGCACGTGTAATTAATCAGACAAAAAAACCCTGTTCATTCACACTCCCCCACACCTTTAAACAGGCTGCCCAGACACCACCTACACAACAAAAGGCAAACCAACAGACACCAGAAAGGACAATTAAAATTGACCTTTTGACAGAGTCACACATAGAAACAGCACAAACACACACACACACACACACACACCCGCCAAGGTCACACCAAGGATCAGTCCCCCTATAAAACAAACACTCTGTATCCCACTTTCTCTATAGCTGCCCACAGGAGCAAACCTCTTCCGTTTTGGGAAATAAATGGATCATCTCCTTTCTTCCAGCAGCGTGCCTTGCATCTTGTTTGCTTGCAATATCCAGGCTCGGAAAAGGAACCTGGAAGTTCTTTTACCATCATGCATATTTTTTTTTGAAATGCCTACAACTTGAAATTAAGATCCTTGTTTCCATGGCCCATAGCAATGCATTGAATTGGGTATAGGGGCCTGGAAAAACTATTGCCCTGGTGATGGGGCAAGAATTTCCTGTGCCAAGCTTGCTTTCCCTTCAAAGGGGTAGAGTATATTTTTAAAGAGGATGATATGATTGTGGCATTCCTCCAACTTTTCCAGAGCCAAAAGGTTTTTGTCACCTAAATCTGTATTTTTAAATTATGATTCCTTTTAAAAAGAGCTCCCCCCGCTCCCCCAGGTAATTTGGAAATAACAGCCTTGCTGGGTCATATCCAAGCCTATCTAATTCCAGTTTCCCCAGTGGCAAGCTAGTTCCCATGGGAAACCTGTAAGCGACATCTGGAAGCCTGTGAATGTTCTTGATACGGGAGGGATAGTCCCAAAGGAGACACTCTGAATATATAGTTAACTGTTTCCTTGGGCTGTTAATATGTCTGGGTTAATCATAGCACCGTGGTATAAAATGGGTCTAAATCCTTGTTTCTTGTTGATTCTGGTTTAATGAAAAGTTTTTTTGTTTTGTTTTTTGGCTGCCATTTCAGTGTTGCTGTGGACGGAACTCTCGATGCTAGAATTATGACTTAGCCCCTATCAAAATCAGCATAAGATATATGTAAAAACAGCAGTCAGGATGAGACAGGATGAGCGCAAGTTTAGGAATGGCACAAAACATTGAAGTGCTGATGACGCCACCTTGATAGGAAGTTGAATGCCATTGAGAAGCTGTAAGTTCTTGCAAAATAATGTTACAGTATGCTAGCTTAATCAACTAAAATTAATAACAGCATGTTAAGTTAAGATTAGGTATAAATTAACCTTAGCCAATTTCCAAAAGTCCATGTGATGTAATGGCAATTTCTACTCAAGTAAAATTAGTGGTACCTATAGTAAAGACTGATCAAAAGGTAAGCATTTTTGGTCTGCAGATGTGAGAGACCATGGAGTTTGACAGAGGAGTACATTCATACAGAATGTATGAACAGATGAGAAGGTATTCAGCCAACCATATTTCAGCTTCGTAGGTTCTGTAATGTAGTTTGTTGTCTCTGCTCTTCCTTTCCTATGAGTTAGCCTGCCAGCTAGGATATCTTCTAATAACCATATTTTTTATGGTCACCCAAATTAGAAAACTTAATAGCTTGGAAACAAGAGGGAACATAAAATGAAATTGAAGTGAGTTGGTTATATTGGTTTTTTTTTTCTTTAGCTATTAACCATAGCTTTCTAATTTGGAAAACAATGGGGCAATACATGTTGTTAACAGAACAGGTTCTTGGTTGCAGTTGGCCTAGCCCTAGACCAAGAAGCAGATGAAGAAATTCATATTTTGACTTATTAAGCTGAAATATGATTATCCAAGCTTGCATAATATTCTCTAAAACATCTTACTGCCTGAATAAAAGCAGAGCTACCCGTAACTAAGATATTTTGCACACCCTTAAAACATCCGTTGAACTTATTTGAGTAATGTTTCATAGAGTGCCCATGCCATATGTTCATAACTATGTGAAAAGCTAACGAACAAGAATTGTATATGTTTTTGGTCCAGGGTCCAATCTTAAATAAGAGTAAACACTATACAAGGGAAATAGTGTATCGAGTTAGTTGTAACTTGAACGCAAGACAGAAAAGCCCCTTCCTCAATTCCTAATCTCTGAAAGCCAAGCGCCCAGATAATAATATCTGAACTTCAGGGTGGATTCAGAAGCAAACTGTTCTCCTACAGAGTCCAGCAACTTTAAGGATTAAAATGTAGAGACAATTTGTGGACATAGATCCCAGTTGATCACTGCGCCCCCCCCCCCCCCCCCCATTTTTTTTTTATACCTAGCTGATATCTTACATATCATGGGTGTCAAACTCGATCGCGTCATGTGACGTGACTCTTTTTTTGCCTTTGCAGAGCCAGGGTGGGCGTGGCCTATGCGTGATGCATCCAGCCTGCAGGCCTCCAGTTTGATAGGCCTGTTCTGTATGCTTTCTGTTGCAACTCTTGGTTTTGATTTATCAGCAGGTGACTGAAATCCACACTGGTGAAAAGTCAGTTCATATTGATCAAAGGGAATCCAGCAAATTTGTTACTGGTTTTAGATAAGGTTGGGGATTTAGGAACCAGTTTTGGCCATATAAAAGTATTGATCAATGTGAAAATTATATTCCTTGATTTTATGTAGACCCATGTGGAAAGTTAGCACCCACCCCTCTCCTAAAAGAATGAAATATTCTAGGAAATATTAAAAAGGCAGAATATTTCCCCTTAAAAGAGAAATAAAAATCTTAAAGGAAACAGAAACAAATGATCCCTGCCCTCAGCAGATATTTTGGTGCCAGCTTATCTACAAAAGACTGGGCAGTCTATCTACAAAACAAAAGACCTCAGCTCCAGGATGGTGGGATTATCCTTCAGGTAAAGCCATTCAGCCTCAATAGGAAATTGCCCTTCATTGCATCACCCAGCAAGATTCAACCAAGCCTGGGACACAGACAACCTCAGCTATGACTGCATAGCCCTATGGGAGTCTGACTGCAACCAATAGGGTTGGTTCCAATAGGATCCCTTGCCACAGGAACAGGAAGCTCAAATTCAAAGCCCAAGAGAGGGTATAAATCTCTCTCTACCCAGAATCACACATGCTTGGTGGTTTTGCTTCACCATTAAACCATCCTTCCAAGCAGCCTCCATCTTTCCAGTGTTTTTCTTCCCAGACAGACATTTCTTCCAACACTCGGAATTAGCCTTGGCATTCTATTGAAGTACTTCAGAATCTTCCTTGTTAAAATACTGATATATATATTTTTGGAGATTCTCAGTCATCCAGGTCATGATTGCCCCAAAGGTGCTTTTTCAAAAAAACCACCTTTGGGACTAACCAGTATAATTTACTGTATAATACATAATAAAAGTAGAATCTAGTGTATAAGAGAAACATGCTCAAAGTAAAGTTTTTGACTACTCTGGCATATAGCATTATTTTCTAGAGAGTTTTAAAAATAGAAATAGTTAATACTGGGTTCAGCAGCAAAAATATTGCACTTTAAACTGCATTTATCTCTTTCCTTGAGGACTTTAAAAAAAAGTGAAAGCAACATTGTTTTTCTTAAGTAAAATGGATAACACAGCTGAATTGTTCAGCAAGTACAAGATGCTAATTGCTTTTTTTTTTAATTGAGGAAGAAAATGTTTGGACTAAGACAGAAGCAAGACTCTCCATGAGTTATTTTGTTTATAGTGAAAATAAATCTCTGTTAAGGCAAGGGCATTAAAACAAGTACCCTAGCCTACAGTATTTTTTTAAATGGTATTGAACTATTATTTCATAATATCGTATGTATTCTATATCAAATTAAACCATAAATTTTGTGTGCTTTTGTCCAATGCTAATTTATAGGCACAGTTCACCTATTAAAATAGTGGTTTTGAATTTTATCTTCATCTTAGGAACATGTCTATCCAGCATGTTTATTTCTATGATTCTGAACTTCTGGAATAAACAGTTCTTTTATTTTTCTGTTTAGCTCTTTTCATAATAGAGCTAGAATCATTAGTTATGATACTAATAGTCTTAATTATATTGCATATTATTTTGATAGAGAACTTTCCAGAGTTGGTTGAAAGATATATAATATAAATATATATTTATAATGCTATAAAATGTTTAAAAAAATAAAAAAAATAAAGCAATTAGGCAGTACTAGTAAATATTAAGAGAAATCCTAGCATAGAATACCTATTGCTTGGTAACTCCAGGGATAATCATTCACAAAATCCAAAAGCAGAATAGGGATACATTATACTTTGCATATTTTGTGTAAATGTTATGAAATAGGACTTAACAGTTGAATAAGCCATCTCTTACTGAATGAAGTATTCATAAAAAGGAATCTATATAATGCAGTATTTTTCAAATTTGGCAACTTTAAGATGTGTGAAATTGCTGGCTGGGGAATTCCGGGAGCTGAACTCCACACATCTTAAACTTGCCAAGTTCGAAAAGCACAAATATATCAAAATTCCAAATTAGTATTTCGAAGGCTGTTTGGGGGTGACTTTTATCAAATGATTTCAAAGCTGTATTTTCTACAAAACCTCCCCCCCACAATTTTTAACCTGTCTCTGCAGATACACGAATCTGCATTAAGAGCAAAGAACAGAAGACAAATAGAAAAAAGGAAGCTACCTCAAAGACGGATACGCACAGCAGAAGTAGAAAGAACATGGAGAACCAAGCCTTCAGGTCCAGACAATCCATGGATGACAGAATACATGAGGTGTTACTCAGCACGAGCTCGGTGATTAGACTTCTAATTTTTTTAAAATTCAGAATGCTTTGAAAACAACTAGGACACCAGTAGAAAACTCCAGACTATTATGCAAGGGTTTTCCATTTTTTATCAACGGGTTTTTTCCAGCAGTTTGTTACATTTATTTATATTTTAACTACTTAACCTTTGCAGCAAAAGAGGGTCCATATTGATGAGAACTATGTTTACCAATATAGGTCCCTTACTATATCTATTTTTAAGGATAATGTCAAAAATTGACCGTCGGCCGAAAAAATTAAAATTGAGTAATAATTTTTTAAATAAAGCAAGTCAATATTTTCTTGAAATGGCTTTTTTCTCTATAGTTACTGAATTATACCAATCTTGTGCCAGTAGAAAAGTGGTTGCACTAGAGTTACATTGAAAGCATCCAACTTTCAGTGCAATTTATTGTAAAAATAATCATGAAAACTTGACAACAAAGGATTTGTAAAGAGTCTTTCTGGACAAACGAAGGTCTCATTAAATTATGAAATGAGCTGATTGGCAATAATGTATAAAAAGGACCACACACTTTACAAACTAGCAGGGAAAAGAATGTTTTGTGGAAGCTGATCATTGGATTCTTTAGATAACCCATTTTTTCCTCCCTGGAATGGCCAAAATGAGGTTGCCGTTTATCCAGCTTAATGGAATCACAACAAGGACTAAGAGACATGAGTTTTTGCAGAGGTATCTGTTGAAGACCTATAGCTGGAAATGTTAAGAACGTTTTTAGAACAAGAAAAATCTCTCCTTTTCATAAATGTATAGTGACTTTTCAGGTTTACATTCCTGCTGTAGATGTTGTGACCATACAAAATTGGATATTTTGGTGCAGTAGATTAGTAATATCCTGTGATTGTGGTTTGGAACATTTGCTATCATGAACCCATTGTACCAAATGACAGATAAAGACAATCATTAACTGATGGGCTATTGAGTAGTTTGTAGAAAGTAAATGGTTTTAAACTTTTTTTTTGTAATAAAATGCTTCATTTTGAGTGGACTTAAACACATCCAGTGAACAGTTTTGTTAGATAAGGCTTCTGCACAGTGACTTTTATAACATTAAAACTCTGAATTTGTTTCATTTGCCTGTTTAATCAAGCTGGGTTATATTCTATGTCAAAACTCAGGTGACATTGCAAATTTTGCTATACTCCAATGTATCACACATTTCTGAGTTTTTAAAGTGATTTTCTATAGAAGAAGAAGCCATTGGCAATCATGAAAGTGCAACATACTTGAAAGATTGTACCACAGAGTGAAACTACCTGTGATTTTTTAACTTTGAAATAAAATATTTTTCAGTCTTAGAAACTGTTTCTTCAGACCTTGAAAAAATTTGGCTTTAAAGATACAGCAAGTGCAGATCTTTGTAAAACCTGCCATTAATCAACAGGGAGACCTTAAAACTCATTTTTCAACTCATTTTTGCTTAGAACAAAGTGTTTGTTCTGAAGAATATGATATATTCATTATATTTAGATCCTGTCCTTTTTCCAGGAGCCAAGAAAAAGCCTGAATTCATTGCATTGGCTTTCTATTCCCCCCCCCCCCCCCCCGCCCTTTACCCTATGGGCGGGGGCCCCCGCCCCCCCCCCCTCAAAACAGGTCCAAAGTAATCTAGTGAGTTTCCAGTGTTGCGGAAAGTGAAACTGCTTTCCAGTCCAACATTTCAACCACTATACTACAAATGTCATTTTACCTCTTCTATGGTTGCATGTGGTGGCTTTATTTCCATCTATAGGTAGATATAATTGAACTTTTTTTTGGAATGGTAATTTGTTTCCTCAGTCTTTATAGTATTCCTTCAATGTATCAAATTAATGAATTTGAACAATATGTGGCTTCAGTATAAAATGACTACCACTTATGCACCAGAGAGAGACTAGAAAATGTCAAGAAAATCCTAGGGCTTGGAAAAGTACCACAAAACCCACACCCCAAAGGGCATCCTTAACACCAGCTTTTCGAGAATAGAACGTGTACTATAACTATGCACTGCTGATTAGTGAGGAGAAAAATTGGAACAGAAAGAAAAAAATATCTGGAGAAATAGAACATCAAGCGCCTGGCTGAACATTGTTTCAGTCTGCTGTTTAGATTTTTTTTAGTTTAATAAGCTTTAGTATGGGAACAGTCATAAACTGAAGTGTGTAACTCTATCTAAATGCTGATTTATGCAGTTGTGGGTTCTTCCAAACAGTAGGTCTGTACAGCTTTTGGTTGACAAATGCATGAATTTGCAAATGGCACTTTTGTGTATATATCAACTATTCCAACAGATCTGTACTTTAAGATAATGTGCATTGTGGATATTTGCCTTTGTATGTACTTGTGTTCAAATATTTTCCCATATCTCAGCTGAACAATTATTCTTTTATTTAATGCGTTTCTTACTCACTTTTGAAGAATGAAGTCTTCCTAACCTGGAGCAAATCACCACTAATTAATGCTTCTTTTTCTCTCTCTCTCTTTACCATAGTAACAAGTAAACGTCTTTCATAAATTAAAGTTGCTTTCCCCCATCAAGCTTCTCATGTGAAAACTTTTATATTTACCACTTATGCTCTGTAAGCCATAATATATAAATATGAACATATAGACTAGAACACTAGCATTAGTGTTCATTAAAATACAGTAGAAAATTAAGTAGATTTTAATTGTTGAGAAGTTTCCTTTTGTGCCAACCTTAATACCAGCAGAAAAATAACAGGATGTATATCCCTGCTGCTTGAAATACAGCCATTCTCCTCAAAACTGCTACAAAACTCCTTGCTAGGTACACTCTCCCCAGCCATGGCAGTGGTGCCTGCTTCAGTTGGAAGTCACTAATCTTAAAAAGTGAATGCGTTTAAAGTGAAATATAGACATCTACTGAAATCTTTATTCCAGAATGGCGTTAAAAATGAGCTGTAAGTTTTTGTCTCTTAAGTGCACTGAGAGTAACTATGCCAGAGATAAATCATTATGTATTGGCCCATGGAAGTAGAGCACACGTACTGACATTATTCCTTTCCATGTAACATCAACATTTGGAGGAATCTTATATGAGGCTGTATCAGTTTATGACTTAGGGTTAACTCTGGACCAGGATAATAAGTATGGTTCTTCAAGAAACACAGCTCAAAGTCAAACTCCAGTTTGTAGCTGGGGCAGATTACTGAGCCTTAGGAGATGCTGATCAAAGGAAAGGCTTTTGGCTGAAAGCCATAAATTTGACAGTTACTGTTGCTATGTGCAATCCATTTAAAAAGAATGAAGGGGTAATGTGGTTAGAAATCAGAGGTATATATTTTCTCAATTATTGGGAGCACTGAAATCACTTTAAAGCCTGAAAAAAATTAAGCTTGGAACAGTGTGTGACTTAGAATGTTTCTAAATGCTGTTTTTCTCATATTTTTGTGGTCTTTAAATGTAACTGTACTCACCATGATTTTGAAAATGTGAATAAAGATGACTTGAAAAATTCAAACAAATCACATGGCTGTATTTCAATTATATACATGAAGTCAATTATTTGACTGTGAGAAAAAATGTGCAAGGCTTCAGAAATTTTAAAGAATAGACCCCTCTCTCTTCGCCCATTTCTCCTTTAAGTAGTAAGCTCATCTCACTTTAATTAGAAAAGTTGTTCTACTATTAAGAGGTAAAATAGACCAGATAAACTATCAAATAGTTCCATGTTTATTTCCAGACTAGCAACAATGATCCACATCCAAATGACAATAGGCTGCATGCATGATTCAAGCTTTTAGCAAGTTTAGCTTGTTCCACAAAGTATATCAATGCAGTGTTTGTTATTTTACATCAATTGTCATAATGCAAATGACATCATTTGCATAACTTGCAAATGATGAATATTGCATAACATGCAAATGATGAACATTGCATCATTTTCATGAAGACAGGATTATACAAATTGCCAAGGAAATGAGGCTGATTGCATGCAAAGTCCATTGAATTGAGTTTTCACTATATGCCGAGTTCAATAGTTATATAATATTCAGAAAGTGTATGCTTAATACACACTTTCATTAAAATTGCCAATAGAAAATGATATTGGTTAGAATTCAGTATTTTCATCTTTTCATCTTTTTCTGACTTCTAAAATAAATCAGGAATGTACTATTTTTATATGACAAAAAAAGCCATTTAAAGCCATTTATTCATCAATTCACCTGGTATTCATGTTAGGGTTGACCTATATCACACGTCATAAAATAAGTCGTATGAAAGTTTTTAAGCAAAACTGCCCTATTTAGTTTTCAGGAACATGCTATGGTGCCAAAGGCTATTTTTTTCTTGCATTGCCCAAGGGAAATGATGTGACTCTACCAAAAAAACAAAAACTCTTTTTAAGATTGGATTCTGCATTAACAAAAGGAAACCTGAAATTAGTATAGAAATTACATTAATAAGGACAAACCTTTGATAAAACATTCTATGCACAAGTAGTCCTCAATTTACAACCATAATTTCCTTTGATAAGGCAGTTGTTAAGTGAGTTCTTTCCAATTTTAGTACCTTTTTTTGACACTATTGTTAAATGAATGTGGTTAAGCAAATCTGGCTTCCATCATTAACTTTGCTTGCAGAAGCTTATAAATGGTGATCACGTAATTCCCCAGATGTTACAATAAGTGTAAATCCATGTTGGTTGCCAATGCCTGAATTTTGATTATATGACTGGGATGCTGCAACAGTTATAAACGTGAAGACTGATTGTAAGTCACTTTTTTGTGCTGTCGTAACTTTAAATGGTCATTAAATAAATGTAAGTTGTAAGTTGAAGACTGCCTGTAATTATAGCAAATGACACACAGACATTGTGTACACTATTGCACTTGTCTTCATAGCTGTCAGGTTTTGCCAAAGTTTTTGGACTTAGGTTATGGTCGAAATCTGCATTTGTAGCATGGGGATTATTCAATAAATATCATAAAGCCTTACGTATTGAGAAAGTACTCTTCACAGGAATTAAACGTTGCAAAATTAAATTGAGTGTACAATTACAGGAAGTGAATGCATGTGTCGCACAAGGGAGATATTTTTCTGATTTGGATAAAAATCATTTATGTGAAAAATATAATTAGCCAGAAAATACAATTCAACCATACTCTTCCCCCAAAAAAATCCTGCATTAACGGATATAAACCTATTTGGAATTTCGTTGTTGAGTAACATTTCTGTAAAATTAAGCAGCACAGTACAATCTTCATAGTTTACAAACTATGCATTTTTATGTATACTATAAAATGTGCTTTTATTTTTAGACACAAATACCAATAACATTCCACCTTGAGCACAAATATGGGTGCTGAAACTTCTGGAGTTATTTCCAGAACTAAGCTAAGAGAGGTACTGCATTTTTTTTTTTAAAAAAAAATTTCGCCACCAAAAAAGTCACCAGTCTTATTTTCGGGGGGCGGGGGGGGGATGTCATCCACTGACTCATCTCACTTGCACGCATCATCCCCCACCTCCTTTTCGCTGTCAGGAGGCCTTCAGGAACTTCAGCCACCAAGGCTTTCCTGAAGGCCTCTGCAGCGGATAACAGAGCTCCAGATTGATCAGGATCTCTGTTATCCGCTGCAGAGGCCTTCAGGAAGCTGTACAGGCAGAAAAAAAATGGAACGGCGAGGCAAGTGTTGGGGTGTGCGAGGCCTGGCTGCAACTGTGCAAAGGTAAGTAGGGTAGCTCCACTCCCCCATCCTCACCCTAGCTTTTTACTTGTGCACCCTGGAGTGGGTGGGGGTCTTAATTAGGGCTTATTTTGGGGGGGTAGGGCTTATTGGGTATATGTGTAAAAATCAAGCTAGGACTTACTTTTGGAGGAGGTCCATATTTTTGGGGAAACATGGTAGCAATTCAGCACCCTTGTATTAAAAACTTGCAGTATTCCCATTCCAGAAGCAGGTGCCATTTGGAAGAGGCCACAATTCTGGGATCCAAAATGCCTCCAGCTTCCAGGATGGTACCTCATGGCCTCTATATAGGAAAGTTGTGCAGTGGCTTGGTGGTTCTCCTTCCTGAAGAACATCTTCAGAAAAGATAAGTAAAGTGAAGAGTGATAGGGTGAAGGCCCAAGGGTGATTGATGGTGTGGGACAGTCAATCGTAAGGGTGGACAGACTGCCAAGCACCCAAATTTTGTTCAGTGACCATAGACGCGCTGCAGTGGCTGTAATTTTGAGTAGAGGTTGTAATTCCCTTTCTTTAGTGCTGTTGCAGTTTTGGATGATGGCTGAACAAATGGTCATAAGTGAAGAACTACCTATATTTGAAAGTTAGCGCTGAATTGAACTGCCTTTTTAAAACTCTTTTGAGTGGTGAATTTCCTATTACAAGGAAAGCACAGGATTTTCAATGCGCTATTTTATGGCTGGCTCTCAGTTTCCTTCCAGGTGCAATTCAAGGTGTTGGTTATTCCATTTAAAGCCCTATGGATGGCAGGAAAACAGAGTTATCTCCAGGACCACCTCTCCCTAGGGATACTTGCCTGTCCTATTAGATCAGAGAGCTAGGCACACTCTTGGTCCCTTTCCTTTAAATACTGCTATGGGATCTAGGAAGTACACCTTTTTCATGTCAACTCCTGCTCAATGGAATATTCTCCCTGCCTTTTAATCTTCTGAAAACTACTTCAGAGATGAGTTCTTCCCCAAGCCCTAGGATAGGGTGAGATTGTTGGGATGAATTTGTTGTGGCCTGCATGACTATGTTTAGCTGTTAACATTTTTATTTTATTACAGATATTTTATTTTGGGTTTGGGAGTTGTTCTGTTTGGTTCAAGATAGGCAACTATATAAATGTTTTAACTAACTAAACTTTACCATAAAGGAAGAAAGAAAAACATGCAACGGAAAGCCAGTGCCTGGGAATTTTAATACTTATCCATCTAGTGTTTTTCTCTTAAAAATTCTACTTATAAGAGAGGAAAAAGGAGAAAGATTTAGGAATAATTTGTGGGCGTGAAAATGAATAGATTGTATCTTATCTTGCTCTAGAGCTTCCTTTCAATTCTACATTATATACACAGCTGATTTTGATATAAGCAGGTCTGTAGCTGCTTATATCTATTCTAAAAGAATATCTATTCTCAAAGAAGCAGTGCTTTAAGAACTGCAGCTTTAATAGCCAGCTAACGATACCAAGCTAACTTTAGTTCCAAAGGAAAGAATTTCTAAGCAAGCAAGTTAGAGTTTGTGAAATGCTGTTTATTAAATTAATCGAGAGGAAAAAAAGAAGAGCAACTCATTTATGAGTCCTGTTATACTCACAAGTGGGTGAGGGGAGAGAGAAAAAAAGGAAAGGGACTCCCTCCCACAGCATACCTACATATGAGCACAAACTGTGATGCTGCAAAATCTCTATCACAAACGCTGCTAACAATAGGAAAGACATTCATTTCGACATAGTAAGGATAGGAACCCTCAATGCTTTTTTGTCCTTCTGTAACTATCTTCCCCGACTCTTCATTTCCTAGGCTACCCAGCATTCAGACCAAAAGAAAACATTTATTGTACTGATTTCACATGTTGTAAAGCAAATATTACTCTACATGAAAGTTCAGAGGAAAAACTGTGACGGCAATGTGTAGGAAGACTAAAGAATGCTGGTAACAGCTTCAGAATGGCCAAGACCTGGTATTGCTCTTCCCTGAAATTTAAAACACAAGGTTACTTTACAATAGTTCTAAAGGGGTGGGGATGGAGAAAGGAATGCCAATGATACATAATAGATGGATCCAAGGAGATCCACTTAGGTGGAAAGTATCTCCAAGCTTCTTTGGATTCTTTTTCTTTCACCTTAGGAAAGCATTAGCATGAGCAAATCCACAACCAAAGAGGCAAAAGTGTTTCTTGAAAGCCATTCAAAACATCCATGCTGTTTATACTCATGCTATAAACTCAATACACATTGATACAGATACACATGCTAGTAAATTTTGTTTTCATTTCTTTCAATTGTTAAGTACCAGAATTCAGATTTTGTTCTAGAGCAACATACTCTTGCGATATGATTTATTTGCCAACATCAGTATACTTTATTCTTATTGACTTTTAGTTTTTTGAAGAACAAATTGCTACAAGTGAAGATTCCCATTTTTTCCCAAAGCATTTTATATTCTTAATACTAACTTGTATAACCCGTATAATCAATTCACCATGACCACAAAGAAAAACCAAAACCAATTTCACCCAGATGTCCATTAAAAAAATCATGACCCATGTTTTACCACACACGGATTATAAATTTAGTGGACAAGTAGATACTTCTTTACAACTGGGGTAATCTATGCTGGGTAATTATGCATATGAATTATGGAACTCATTCCTAACAACAATCAATTTATGCTATCTTCATTTTGATGCTATCTTTATTTTACTTTAGGTACCAGGCAAAATCTGTCTAAATACCCCCCCACACTTTTTGGTACTCAGTTTAATTTTCCAGTACTGTTTTGTAACACTAACAATAAGGATTAATAAAGTATTTAATATTAACTTTAGTCCTAACTTCTGGCTGCTAATTTTGTTTGCAACTATTGAAAAAAATTGTATGCATGGGCTTTTAGGACTTTCACTAAGCCCCCCCTTCCCCCAAAGTTATTTTTGGTTATAAAAGTGCCCTGGGTGATATTAGGATAGGGCATGCCCATATTTTAATTAAACAAATTTAAAACAATACAGCTGACAAGGGGAAAGTGCTTAGGTCTTTCCTTGTTGACTAACCAGTGACCACTGAAAATGACCTGCAACTTTAATTACACTCATCACCTCACTGTGGCTGCACTTCAAATATATGAAGAATGTTTATGTGGATTCATCTATTTTGGCTCCAGGGCAGTAAGATTTTAAATTGCAATTAATACTAACATTTACACTCTTTCAGGTATGCGGCAGCTGAAAAGCTGCTTTTTAAATGGATATGGAAACAATAGATTTTTTTTTTCCTTGCTCATCCATATAAAACTTTCAATTACCCAGAATTCATATATGCTGCCTCAAACCCAGAAATGGTGCTCTTAAATGAACTAGGAATATTCAAAGAGGCCATTTTTACAATCTCTTCAGCAAAGTCACAATTTTATATTCCCAAGTGATGCCCATTTATCTATTATGAAAGCAAACTGGTTTTCTTTCAGTGGCACAGATTATTATCAGAAGATGGAGCTTTGGGCAGCTTAACAATAAAAATGTATAACTTTGTCTAGGCCAGTTGCATTTCTAGATTAAGCTTCTACAAATTTACAGTTTGTAAGTGGAATAGGAATTAAAAACAATTCTCTTTCAGATGGAACTATCCTACTTCTCATTAAAATTGTTTTTAACTGAGAAACATATATGTAGAAATCATTTTAATTTTTTTTTTAAAAAAAATCAGATAATGGTGACTGACAACTTCAAACACTTCTCTGGATGGGAAAAAGAAGTAGGCATTATCTTTTACCTGAAACTACAATTCTTAGTTGCAGTCTAAAATGTATGTATATATATCCCCGGTCAAGTTCAGACAGCAGCAAGCTTTGAGTTCACAACTGTATTTATAGCTTACATTTGACAAACTGGAATACATTTAAGCATTTCAAGAAACAAGAACAATTACGCTTCAGTAAAAAAAAAATCAGTATGCAGATTAGTAAACATATGACCTAACAGTTTTCAAAAAATAGTTTATGTAAGCCCCTGTAGAAAGTGGCAAATAAAACACTGGCAGTCAATGCCAGTAGCTTTCAATGTCAACTCATAAATAAAAGCCTTTATAAAAAAACAAAAACAAAAGTAACCCTGAAACATGATAATGCCTACCAGAGTTAAAATTTTTAATTAAAAAAAGCAGTGTTAGTGCAATATCATGTCAGTATATCATGCTTTGGAAATTTAATGACAATGTCGTATATACATGTGGATACACCAGTGTTTTTAAGTAACAATAAGAAACTTAAATATGTAACAGAAAATATTTACGTACAGGTATTTTATGTCTCAATATTGTCCACTGTATTACCAAATGTTCTTTTTTTTGCAGTGTTGCTCTGCCATTCCACTGTACTTTTTAAAAACAAAAATGCCATATGTTCTGTTTTGTTGAATCAAAAAGGAGTTCTAAAAATGCAGATTCTTGCAGCAACGGCAGTTTTTCCATGAATTACTTGAAAGGAGAGCTGAAAAATAAATAGCATTTCAGTGTTAACAGATTTAAATTTAGATCTACTTTTTAAAAAGGGGAAAGCTGGCAGGTGCAATCAAGGTTAAGATACTGGTATCTTAATGTATGCATTTACAGATACCTTTGCTATCTAAAATAGAGTGGGCAAGCCGGAGCCTCATGTGATTCTCCAATCCATATTTTTGCAATGTCCAAAGTTTCTACAGATTATACGACTGTCAATCCTTATAGTCCCCATTGCCATTGTTAGGGGAAGCTAACAGGAAGATGCAAGTCCCAGGCACCTTGCAAGCAGGCTGGGATTCAGATAAGTAGTTGCTGCTGGGTGGGTGGGAGGGAGGATGTGTGAGTGGCTGGCAAGGTGCAGTGGGACTGGGGGTGGGGAGGGTTGGCTGCTGGCTAGGTGGGGAAGGTTCACAAATGTGCAAAAAGCCCCTGAGCTGTAGCCCTTCCCTTTGCATGGCTGTGATGATGAGCCCAGCACAGGGGAGGCCAGTGAAGATAAAGGAGGTCAGCTGGGGAGCGGGGGAAGGCTAGAAGGAATGGAAGTCATAAAAGCAAATATTTATACCTTAAACCCTGAAAAAATGTGAGCCTTGCCTCTCCTTATCCCACACTTTCAGCAGCTGAAAATATTTTAAGAAGTGTGACACTCTCTTATTGTTGCAAAAAGGGAACATTTTAAAGATTTATCATTAAAATTAGGAAAAAATGGAGGTGGTGCTATGTGCTATGTTTTGACAGTATGCCATTCTCCATGTGAGTCACTGTCCGGGGTTTATATGGGCATGCATATCTTATGTGTAGGTGTACCTAAAATCACTGTAGGTGGTTATGTAAATATTCTAGGAATAATCATTATTTACAGAACAGCACATTTTAGATCAAGGTGATAACCCTTTCGCATTACTGAAAAAATATATATTTGGAGTTATACAGGGGTGGGCTTCAAAAAACTTAGCAACTCTGCCCGGTTGCTGGATGGACGTGGCCTACTCAGCCTCCTGCACCACTGTGGCCTGCAACCAAAAATGGGCCACGGGGGGGGACATTTTGGCCCTTCCCGGGCTCTGGAGGCTTTCCTCGAGCCTCCAGGAGGGTGAAAATGGCCTCCCTGGGCTCCAGGTGGGATTCCCAGGGGTGGGATTTGCCGGTCCGCCAAACTGGCCATAAAATTAGCAACCGGTTTGCCCAAACTGGTGTGAACCAGTAGCAGCCCACCCCTGGAGTTATATAAGCTGTGTGTAAGCTCTTTAATCAATAAAGAAAAAAATTCAAAAAACAGTAAATGAATTCCACTGAATGATTTTGGTTATTATTTCTTCACTTAATACCCAACCCATTAAAATAGATTTTTGGGAAGATAGTATGTTAGGGAAAAAGTGTGACAGAAAGCTGATGTGGATGCAAGAGCATGTACCCTTCTTTGTGGGAAATATTGTGTATTGTGGTCTTATTGAATATTTTATGTTGATTGATCACTGTTTTTAAATTATAATATATTTGATGTAAATATTTGTTATATTGTTTTCAACCACTTGGATATATTCTTGGAAAAAGGGTTGATAAACATTTTACAAAGCTAAGCTGCTCAGTTAAAAACCCTACAGCGATAATTCAATGCAGATTATAACTGCAATGTTGAAGTTATTTTTAACACAAAAATAAAGCACTTTTACTACATTCTATAGTCATATTAAGACTATATTCAAATGTCCAGACAGTAAAGTCAGCAATCAACTAAATCAAATAAAATTACAGGATTTTTAATTAATTTCATCTTACTAATAGTATAACAGAGATTTTGTAGTTGTTTGTATGTATAAAGACACACTACACTTATTCTCATTCTTTCTCTCTCTCTATGTATGTATGTATGTATGTACGTATGTATACGTGCGTGTGTGCCTGTGTGGTTTTAATGGATTTTATTATTATTTGCCACCCAAAGTCACTTGATTAAGATAAGCTGCCATAGAAATTGAATACATACATACTGAATGGAAGATTGGAAAAAGAGACTGAAAATGAACTTGAAATATCACCAACTTTATAGCTCAATCAGATTAAAATGGTAAGCACAAAGCAAGTTTTCCAGAATTGTCTGTTCTCAACTTTGGAACCTACACTCATACTAAATAAAAGGCTTGGAAACCTCAATTTCAACTCTTTTTAGCCAAGGATGATTTTTCTGTTTTTAGTTAATTATACAGAGAAATATGAAAGTGGCAATGAAGTATCAGCTACAAAAGTGTCAGAAAGAGTGGCTCTTCCTAAGATTGTTGGAAGAACATATGAACCAGTTTCAGCTGAAATAGTAAGAGGTCAATGAAATTAATTTCTGCACTGCAACAAATGTATGTAAATGCCTGCAATCTATACTAAAAACCTTGGAAAAGCTATTTTTATTCTACTAAACTGAAGCAAGGGTGATACTAACTTGGTAATACATACCTTTTGTTTCATAAAACAAGAAGTTTTTTGTGGTTTGCTTTAACAGCCACATTCTTGAACACTCTGAGCCTGTGCTCTCCGGGGAGATCTTAGCTGTCTCAAAGCAGCATCTCCATATTGAATTCCTGAGCCCATCCTTTCAGGATCCAATTCACCTGATAAAACAAAATACAATTTATTTTTCTCATATGGTCCTAAACTGCATACACAAGATTTAAAAACCTTTTTGAATGTAATTTAAATTATAGCACGATATCCATCACACTTGAGGATTGAGAATGTCCACAGCATTGACACACAAATTCTGTACTTTAAAAACAAGAATATACACATTTTTCTTTAAAATTGCAGTTTACGTTGGTGAGATTGGGATTTTTTTTGTTAACTACTGTTTAATAATATTCAGTGGCCTAATCTGTCACACAATGTAAAAACGATTTCCTTCCTCTTAGTTCAGAGATCTATCAAGAGATAGCACATGATAATGAAAGCTGGAGATTACAATCTGAGATTGTTTGCCTTAGCACTAGATCTTAATGTTTTATACAACAGTTAGTTCATAAATACTTGTTTTAAATGTTTTCAGATGTAACATAGAAAAGCTGCCAGCAAAATATAAAAAATAATCGATTTATCGTAACTGAAGGATTTTTCTTGTTTTTGACAAATCTGTTCATACAAGATTACATAATTAATCTAAATATAAAGAGAGCCAGTTTGGTTTAGTAGTTAAGGCACCAGGCTACAAAGCAAGAGTCTGTGAGTTCAAGTCCCACCTTAGCCATGAAAACCAGCTGAGTGACTTTGGGCTACTCATACTCTCTCTTAGCCCAATACAGGTTTGTTGTTGTGGAGAAAATGGAAGAAGGGAGGTGTGTTGAATGTGTTTGCTGTCTTGAGTTATTTGAAAAAATAATAAAGGTGAGTAATAAATAAAAAAAATATACCATACTTTTTGCACTAGAAAATAAATACAACATGGACAGAAAGCATTAAATTTGACCATTTAGGCAGTAGCTGGAAAAACTTATCTTCTTTAATTTATTTGACAAGATTGGGTTTATTATCAAGTAGAATTTTACGACAAAGGAAAAACACATTTAATCCACTTTATCATTTTAGAAATGTCATTTAATCCTAGGTAAAAATATTTTAATAATGGAAACGTGGATTAGAATTACCTGACTCAATTTTATTAAGTATCTTTCTTGCACATTGTACAAAGGCTTCTTCAACATTCTCCCCTGTCAATGCACTTGTCTCCAAAAACATCAGCTCTGTAACAGTAAAAATGAAATGTATTTGATCAGTGTTCAAAATTACCCAATAATGGTCTTTCAGCTTTAAATGCAATATATTTATTGCATGATGAGCCTCTGTGGCACAGTAGTTAGAGTGCAGTACTGCAAGCTACTTCTACTGTAGCCAGCTGCCTACAATTTGGCAGTTCAAATCCCATCAGGCTCAAGGTTGACTTAGCCTTCCATCCTTCTGAGGTCGGTAAAATGAGGACCCAAATTGTTGGGGCAATATGCTGACTGTAAACCACTTTGAGAGGGCTATAAAGCAGTATATAAGTCTAAGTGCTAGTGCTATTGCTATATTTACATATGTCATCATATTCTTCCCATAGAAGATTTTCCTGACCAGTTTTTACCAATTCGTCTTATTAAACATTCCTAAGTCAATTTTGTCTATATCTACTTAGCAGTAAACTTCACTGAGCATCCAATACTGCAGCCTGTATGGGAGAAAACAATTGGGAGAAAATTCCAATCAGTAAAATATCTCCCATCTCTCAAACTAAAAAGATCCTAGAACACGAATAGGGAAAATCTAATTGCTACATCTTGAGCAAGAACCTCACTCTAAAGCTCTGCTCCCATCCAAAATTGTCTCGTTATCCCTTCCAGCAAGATTCACATTTACTGGAAGTTCCAATATTCTAAACTATTTGAAAGACCTTCAAGTGAAACAATACTTTGTATACCAAAATGGGGAAGACAGTACACAAGCCAGAGGACAGACAATCATGTTTACATATACTCAGTATGGACTGCTTGCAAGTACGTTTTCCCCAGAGAAAATATAACAGCATTGTCAACAGCTGCATTTGTTTGCATTCTATTTGGAGAACATTAAAATGCAACTCTGCTTTGCTATGTATGGCTACTCATCTCATGTGACAGGACTTTGTGCTACATACAATTTGACTTATAGAGAAAGAGAGAGTGCGTGCAATTGTTTCTTATTCTTTTATCTTTCTTATATGTACCCATTTCATGTATTCACAACTATGTATACACTTATACTTATTATCTTGTAAACAATTGGCAAATCAAATAAATAAATAAATAAATAAATAAATCCTAGGTAATCCTAGTTTAACAACCAGATGGACCCACAAAAAGTACTTCCAACCTGATTTTAAAGTTCTGCTGGCTGTACCACCAACACAGTCACTTGATTACATGTTGGGCACTTGGCAATCAGCTCATCTTTACAGCCATTTACAGCATTCCATGGTTGGGACCATAAGTTTTGAAGTTTTTTTTTTTTTACTTTTTTGCTAGTTCTTGCATTATTTCCAGTTTCTGGCAAAAAAATGTTCCTTGGATAATTCAGATTTGCTTATTGTTATGAAAATTCGAAGACTTGTCAGATTATGCTACACTCTGCTTCCTTCTTCCTCACTGAGAAGAAATTGCATATAGCAGCTAAAGTCCTTTCAAGGGTGGCATTGGTTTAATATGGCTTTCTTTCCTTTATCTGGAAAGACATGACTAGTCAAAATAGAACTGAATTTGTTAAACACCAGCTGGAGCACAGCAGGAACAAATTTCCAATGTGAAGAGTTGGGAGCAACAGTACAATGAACACAAATGTTCTCAGGTAGTGTGATTCTCTCTGCAGGACCCTGCTGCTAGATAGAGTTAATTTCCTATTCTTAATCCTGAGTGCTTTCAGCTGTAGCCTTGAATCAAGAATCCAATTATAGGCTAACTAGCATATAATATAACCAGGATATGACCAATCGTTTAGTATAGTATATGTAGGCAAAATTCAGGGATGTTTATTAAGGTCTTTCCTTTACCCTCTCCTCCCTGACTTTGATCATTAAGGGAGTCCAACCATAAGACAAAAATGACTATTCTTACAATGTCATAATGTAATCAAATTAAATTAAATTAAATACATTACACATATTCACATAATCCTATATGATCACTCAGACTAGTTGTTTCTTTAAACACAAAAGACACACTCAAGCAGACTGGAAAACAGTACTTAAAACAAGCAATGTGTGGAAAAAGTAAACAAGAAAGATTATAAAATTTCTTTCCTACACCTCCATTTCATTCTGAACATTTTTGTGGCGGAAAATTTTCAATACAGCCCTTTATCAGGAAATCAAAAGACATCAAGAAAACTACTTACCATTTTCCTGAGCAAATCTGGATGCTTCTAGAAAAGTGACTTCCCTATCACCATCAAGATCCTTTTTGTTCCCACATAGTATTATTACAATATTCTGACTTGCTAACATCCTTGCATCTGTCAGCCAATTGGTAAGTGCGTTGTAGGTTTCTCGACTAAATCAAACAAAATATTTTGTATTAATAATACTTACAACCCATAACACCCTTATAAAAATATTTTGCTGCACTTGATTAGAAATATGCAAAGAAGATATTGCACAATAAGATTCCTGAAAAGTATTTTCATTTATGACTGAGGACATACTGCAATGTCACAAAAATATTCATTCTTATATTGAGACCTAATTTAATGCACTATGGGAACTGAAACTATGACAACAGCAAGATAGCCAGAAGAGCTAGATCAGAAAGCAAATAACTGAATGTTGATCCAATACTTTCAGCTATACATTTCAGATTATACATTTTCTATTCTATTCAGTTCCCAGGAGAAAGTCAACATCTGAAAGTAAAACTAGAATCAAAGAGCTGAGGAAGTTTCTGATGAGAAGTCAGATAAGGTTCTCGGAATCAAATAAAACATACTCCATAGAAGTTTTGACTAAACTGTCCAAAGAGATGCATGTATGCAGGTATATACATAGGAGGTTTTAAACAGACTTCCTTATTATGGAACAAGACTACCTGTACCGCTATTTGTTAAAAGCATTTCCATTGAGTGAAGTTACTTTATATAAGATTGTGAAACTAACTTATCTTCTTACAGCTAATATGTATTTTGCACATAAACTCAACTATCAACTATCACACTGCCTCTATACTTCCTATGTGCAAAATACATATTAGCTGTAAGAAAATTCCATATCCCCTGAAGAATATGATTTTAGCTGTGATTTTACCCAGATTTTAGCTGTGCCTAAGATTTCCCTGAAAACAGCCAGCTTGGTGTAATGGTTAGGTATCAGGCTAGAAACTGAGGAACTGTGAATTCTAGTTCCACTTTGGGTGTGAATAAACTGGGTGATCCTGGGCCAGTAACTTTCAGCCCCAGGAAGGAGGCAATGGCGAACCACTTCTGAAAAACCTTGAAGAAGAAAAAACAACTGCAGGGACTTGTCCAGGCAGTCTCTGAGAATCAGACATGGGTGGGATTCAAATTTCTTAACAACCGGTTCTGTGGGCGTGACCTAATTTGTGGTTGTGGCTTGGTGGTCATCTGACTGGCTGGGTGTGGCTAGGTGGCCATGTGACTGGCTAACCAAATATAAGTGGTCTTCGCTTAATGGCCAGTTGCCTAGCAAGTGTTCTAATTTACGACTGACCTCCCCAGAGCTACTTGACCTGTTTTTGGTGTTTTGACAGCCATGTACACACACACACACTTACGACCAGTTACAACATCCCACAGTCTTGTGACTGAGGTTTTCTATGTTTTTTGCCAGTTTCCAACAATTCCTTCCGGTTTCCAGTTAAAAATGACCATTGGGGAAAATTGACTCATTTAAAAACCAGTGTTTGCTTAGTGACCAGAAGGTTCCCTTAATGACCATGGTGTTTGCCTCACCCTGCAACCTTAAACATTCAAAGAGCCATTTTTCTATTTTCTTTTAAATAGGTATCTCTTTGTGTGTGTCTCTTTCTTTCTCCTTCTCTGTTTCTCATCTCTCTTCCTCTCTCTCATCTATAACAGCTAAGATTGTAACCTGTTTTTTAATAATCCTATTTCTTTGCAGTTTTTTTCACACACATTTGTGCATATGTATCCAAAACTCTTTCTTCCTTTCTGCTATGTATTCAAAATGGGCAATGATTGTGTGTGTATGTGTGTGTGTAGCATGTGTATATGTGTGTTATGTATATGGATGTGTGTGTGTGTGTGTGTATATATATATGTGTGTGTGTGTGTGTGTGTGTTGTGTGTGTGTGTGTGTGTGTGTGTGTGTGTATGGCATTCAGCTTTGTTCAGGTATTTTCCCACGTCATTGTAGTTGTGCTTTTAAAGTTGTAGCAACGTTTTGGCACTTTAACTTTAAAAGCACTACAATGACGTGGGAAAATACCCGAACAAAGCTGAATGCCATACATGTAAGTACCCGCGAAAACTTAAGAAAACATTATATATATATATATATAATTTCACTTTTAATGTGTGCCAGTGTGCTTACAGTAAAAAAATGACAATAAAAGTTATCTTATCCTATCTTCCTTCTTTCCTTCCCAACCCCATTCCTCCCCACACCCTATTTTGTGTTGGGTTCCCAGCCAAGTACTTACCAGGTCTGATCCTGTTTAGCTTTCTAAAATCAGCCTACTGAAATAAATACCAAACTAAACTGCCCAATAATTTACCCATCATCAATATCTTGCACCTGATTTCAATGTAAACAGTCAATCTGCAGTATTACTAAATTTTGCTAGGCACCTGCTGCGTGTTATTTTCTCTTCCTTGTAAATCTAATCTTAGCTGGGAAAAACAGTCTGGAGTCACTGGCAAGAGCAGCTCAATGCAGAGAAAAGTCGAGCGTCTCCCCATATTCCTTTCTCAACGAGCAGCCTCGTCCCCTCCTCATTTGTAAAGCACGCTAAGTTTAAAGATGCTGCAAGAGGCTGCTCGCTGAGAGAGGAATATGGGGAGACGCGTGACTTTTCTCCGTGCCAAGAGGGCTGCTCTCTCTCTCTCTCTCTCACCTCCACTCTTGGCACGGAAAAAAGTTGGTGAGAGCAGCAGTTGAGGTGGTTGGTCATCCGTCCGGGGGCTCACACTCACCATACCTGCAGGTGGTGAGGAATGCAGTGGCAGCGAGGCGGCAATGGTGATGGCAGCAAGGAAGGCAATGGCGATTCTGGCGGCGTCAGGGCTTCCGGGACCAGCTCCCCCCTGCCATCTGTGTGGCTGCATATGTGGTGCATCGGGGTTTCCAGGCTCTGCTCCCCGTAGCCGCTGTCAGCTGTCCCTACTCGATCAAGGGGCACCTTGCTGACACGAACCTCTCCACGTGTTCCTTCCTACTGCTCTTGCTGGGAGAGCAAGAGAGTTTCCCAGGACAGCAAAAAGCTTGAAAGTCCCCCTCCCATTAGAAATGGCTCCCGAGCAGCAGAGAGAAGCAGGATTCAACCTGGCTGCTTCTCTGCTGCCCGGGAGCCGTTTCCAATGGGAGGGGGACTTGCAAGTTTTTCGCTGTCCCGGGAAACTCTCTTGCTCTCCCAGCAAGAGAAGCATGTGAGAGAAGCAGCCACTGACCTGGCTGAAGCCTATATGAGCCTCTCCACATGTTCCCCAGTGGAAGGCAAGTGGGGGGGGGGGGGGGCACCAAGCAGAAAGGCCAAAGGGCAAGGGGGGGGGAAAGGCAACCGGCAGTGACAGCAAAAGGCAAGGGGGGGGAAGGCAACCGCCAGAGGCAACAAAAGGCAAGGGGTATGGGGGGAGAGAGGGAAAGGCAATGGGCAGGGGCAGAGCTTCACTCACTCAGGGAGATCAGTTCAGGCAGGGCCGCAGCAGAAGGCAGGCAGCAATAGCCGGTCTAGTGGGCACACATAAGCAGGCTGCAGTCAGCAATGTCGCGCATGCGCGATAAGGACTGATTCCCTGATTGGGCAGGGAGCAGAGAAGCAGGTAGAGAGGGGCCAGCCAGAGGCCCGATTTACCGGTTCTCTGAACTATGGAGAATCATAACCAAACCGGTAGAATCCTACCCCTGGAATCAGACATGATTGAACAGAAGGAAAAAGATTTCTCTAGCACTTTGCTTTTACCTGGTGATGTCGTAAACAAGCAAGGCACCTGCAGCACCTCTGTAATAGCTTCGTGTTACTGATCTGTGAAGAAAAAACCCTACAGTATTTTAAAGGATATAAATTTGAGTTCTGTGCAATGCTAAAATTGTAAGCATAAACTACAGTGCTTGTTTAGGTTTGTACTTGCAAGACAAAACTAGAGTTAGGCATTTACATACTCCACCAATTAAATTTATGTGTTTATTTAAAACACTTACCCATCTTATATCGAACTCTGCCTAACAAGAGCATTATTAACTTCCCAGATGTGTTTCCTTTTAGCCGGACTGGGTCAGAATTTCTGAGATAATAGCAATGCAATTACAAACCCCATTTGCCAGTTATAGCATCTTCTATTGTTATTTAGCCATGCTGAGGTGATATAAAAGCTATTCTCTATCAATACAACTATACTTAGTTGGCTATAAAAATATTATAGTTACAAGAAGAAAGTAACCTTTACTTTAACAGAAATACTGAAAACATCCTTATCTTGTAATTGCTTTCCCTTATTTAACAGGAAATTATACCTGAACCGTTCTTGTCCAGCTGTATCCCATATCTGCAGTTTTACATATTTGCCTCCAACATTTATTATCTTTGAACCAAACTCCACTCCTATAGTGTGATTTGAGTCGTCTTTGACTATAACAGGAAAAAAATAGTAATTAGTACTCAACTTCAGTTGAAAGGCAAGGGTCATAACAGGTTATGTCATTGTCAGTGTACAGATGCATCATCACGGAACTTTTGAAGCCAAGAAAAAGAATAAAAGGAAAATTGAAAAAAAATCTACACAAATGGATATTAATTGTGCTATTATCAGAATATAAAATATATTACATAAAGGTTGAAATGCTAATAAAGTCACTATCACAATTTTTTGGTTTATATAGTAATTGGATGCTTGAAAACTGAATTAAACTTAAACCAGTAGTCATTATGAATTTGCAAAAAACAGAACATCTTTTTTTTGCAAGCTAAAAATCAGATGAAGAAAATAGTAAGACATTAAATTTGTAAGCATTCTGGACGCGGTATAAATCTGAGTAATAAATCATAATAGAACCGTGTTTTTAATTTTGGGCTATTGAATGAAAAAAAAATTATTACAAGAAACAAACACTGATAAGTGTTCTGAGCTATCACATTTGCTAACAGTCATTTCTGCTATTTATAATCTTTTTTATCATGCTGAATTTCTAAAGCTTACTTAGATGAACAAGTTTTGAACACAGAAATAAGCTGGTGTGTTGTAGCATTAAGATGTGGTCGAAGAGACCAAATTCAAGTTTGCCATTAGCCATAAAGGTCCAGACTAGTAGTTGATCTCTCTCTCTCTCTCTCTCTCTCTCTCTCTCTCTCTCTCTCTCTCTCCCTGAACTACTAGCTTTCTTCAAGTCCAAGTCATGATCAGTACATACTGTTGTAGTTTCTCTTATCACCACAAACTCCAACAAAACACAACTATCTTCTTCAAATGTTCCTGCCATTTGCTTTTCCTCTCCTAAGACTTTCCTGTTATTTGACACCAAGTCCAAAATTGCTGACACTCTTGGGGCTCCCTCTACCTTCTGAAGGAGAAAGTTGTTAGGAAGACAAGGCAGGGCATTATGGGAAAAGTTATACCTGGCAGGGTTTTTCTCCCAACAAATATTGGAGCAAGTAAAGTTCCCCACTATATGCCATGCCTCATCTTGGATGGTAAGGAGTTTCAATAATTGATTTTTTTTTTCATCTTAAGTTTTTTTCATCTTATGTTTTTAAAGTTTCTGAATTTAACCAACCTATACTTAAAACCACCTTTATCATGATTTCACTCAAGTCACAATGATATACAAATGAAATGTGTGCACTATCCTACATTGCTTTGGATATACATCCATAGATTGATTTGATTTGTAAAGTCATATATCCTGCTCTCATAATGAAGACAGGAGAGCACTTCTGGATGATCTCACATAATAAAATAGAAACTAATTGGAATAAATCATACCCTTCTACAACCATGCTTATAGATTTCTGGCATACTTCCAGGGATGAGATTCAATTTTTAAAACAACTGGTTCTGTGGGCGTGGCTTAGTTGGTGGGTGTGGCTTGGTGGTCATGTGACTGGGTGGACGTGGCTTGGTGGTCATGTTATTGGCTGGGTGTGGCCAACTCAACATCACTCACATCAAGGCATGCATCTCCTCGCCTGGCCTCTCATGACTGTGGGGATGCTGCAACAGTTGTAAATGTGAAAAATGGTCATAAGTCACTTTTTTCAGTGCCATTGTAACTTTGGTCACTCCACACAAACAAAGTACCAGCAAAGGAGGGAAAAAAACCTCCAGAGAAGTTCCTGAGACAGGAAGTCTAGTCCTGCCAAGAATGTAATAAGGGTTAATAGAGAGGCAGTTTCTGTAAGCAACACCAGAATGTTTCCTTCCTGCCTTCCTTACAGGATTAGGCCAGTAATTTCTTCTAACAATTAGTTCTCCGAACTGCTTAGAATGTTAACAACCAGTTCTAGAGAATAGATGTGAACTGGTAGAATCCCACCCCTGCATACTTCATTAATAATACTTTAAAGAAATATCACCATATGATGATTAATAAAATGCTACCACCTACAAATTCCAAACTGGATAGATTTAGCTGCAAAAAATACAATTTTACTTACATTTCTTCTCAATAAACTGATGAAGCAAACAGGATTTGCCAGTTCCAGCATTTCCAATGACCAAAAACTTAAACAGGAAATCTGTAAACAAGATTACATATTAGTATCTTTAAATACAGAACTATACTATAACTGTTATTTTCTTATCTTAAAAGCATATCACAATAGTGAAAAAAAAACAGCCGAGCTATAATTCAGTAGCTCATTCATAAAGACATTGTAACAGAAATAATCAATACTTATACTCAATAGGTATCACATCACTTAAGCACATATTTTAACAAGAGGATAACCAGCAGCAAAGTGGATGGACTGAGTTACAGAGGTGTTGAATGGATTGTTGAAAGACCTAATGACCAGGTTAGGATCTTCATGAACAAAATTTACTGACAGTTAATGGCATATGATCATTAATCAAAAGCTTGGTGTAAAATAAAAACATAAATTTATATTTGCACAAAAATTAATGGAGGTAGAGCTTTTTTTAAAAAAAATACAGTCTTAACATCCTGATTATAAAGTACTTTGCTATTTCTCACTTTAATGTATTAACTTATTGTGAAAACTAATTGTTGCCTTATTTAGATAACAATCTTGTCTACAGTATACTTCTTCTTTTAAAACAGCTGAAATGTTAAAACATGTCATTGGTTCACATGAATTGATATAAAGATGGGGAAAGTTGTTTTTCATTTGTTGCATGTATCTATTACATTTTTGATTTATACAGAATGAGAGCTTTTTCAAAAAATAAAGATTTACCATAGTTATTCTGTTCTCTAGTACATTCATTTTTATGAATTAAGAAGGCGTTGGAAATTGTTAACTGCTAACTATCTAATTTTTACAAAAATTATCAACAATTCCACAGACCTCAAAGGAACAGTATCAAAAATTAATCCAGTTTTGTTAGAAACAGATATAATTAACCCAACAGTGGGGATGAAAGACATCTGGAAGCCAGAATGAAAGCAGGCAATTGAATGATGCTATTTCCCTCTGGAAATCTGGAGAATTCTTATCTGCCTCAACAGAACAAATATTTAGATCATTTTAAGGCATCTATTTTAGACCACTGGCATTTAGCCCCTTCAAGAATCTCACAAATATTGCACAGGCTGCAAGGAACTGGAAGGTTGTCATCAAACAGGAATGTTCTTCCATTTTTAGCAAGGATGGGATAGTTTCAAAATTTCAGAGGTAGGCCTTTAATATGATAACTAATCAAATTTACACCAAGTTTAGGTATACATCTCTCTCTCTCTCTCTCTCTCTCTCTCTCTCTCTCTCACACACACACACACACACACACACACACACACTCTTAATGGAAGGAATAAAATTATGAAACACAAAACTAATGTTTTCTTGCTCTTAATGAAAGTTAATGCTCGCCAATGGAAATGCTGAGACAACCTTTTACTAGAAAATGTATTTAGTAAGATTTGATCACTTGACCTGCTTGAAAAATTCTCTGACAAAATTTGCTCAAAATATAAAGGAAATCATTATTTTTAATCGGAATTGGCAGCATTAAATGCGTTTCCTAAAAGAAATATCCTTCAGAACGTATGAATATTTTAAATGAATTATTACAGGACTATTTAATGTGCAATGCATCTGTGCACTGTTTTTTTTTTTTTTTAAATCCTTCATTGTAGCTTCGTTCACATTGCCATCAACTTAAAAGATTTTTTTTTTCCAAAGGCAAATATAGGTAAAATCATAGCCCTAAATTTTGAAGTCTGTGCTTTATTTTGTATTTTTTTAATGACTTTAGTTGGTGATAATTACAGAGTGTTAATTACATTGGCACCATAATTTATGATCCTTCCTGGGTTCACTGCCATGGAACCACTAGACACCAGGGAAAGGAATGCGGTGCTTTCTTTTTGTCTTATTTGTTGCCACTCTTGCCAGAAGCCTTTCTTGCATGTCATTTGGCCTACAAGACCAAAATGCTATTTTCCCCAAATTATGGATTCACTCTTTCAAAATAGATAAGGTTTCTTGACAAAGAAAGCAATTCACAGAATTTATTGCCTCGGTTATTTAAATGGTTCAACCAGATGGGGGAGAAAAGCTCTAAAAGGCATTTCATTACAAAGCTTATTCTCTTTTTTCTCTCAATGACAAAAGTGCTTTGAGTTTCAAGACCTTGTTGACTTGGGATTTTGTGTGTTGAATGTATTTTCATTTCCCAAGAGCTCAAATGTTCATGATAAATATATTTTAGAAAGATGAAGTCTGTAAAATATAGCCATCAAACTTTTACCTAATATTTAGAATGATAAAATTTGGAATACTGAAAAAGAAGTATTAAACATATAATCCTCTAATGTTAAAATTAAATTCCCCTAAATAATTTAATATTTAAAAACTGGTTTTGAATTATTCAGAATAACAGAGTTGGAAAGGATCTTGGAAGTCTTTTAGTAGTCCAATCCCCTGCTTAGGCAGGAAACCCTATACCATTTCAGACAAATAGTTCTCCAATCTCTTCTTAAAAACCTCCAGTGTTAGAGCATCTACAACTTCTGGAAGAAACCTGTTCCACTGGTTTATTGTTCTCAGTGTCAGGAAATTTTTCCTTAGTTCTAAGTTGAATCTCTCCCTGATTAGTTTCCATCTACTGCTTCTTGTCCTGCCTTCAGGTGCTTTGGGTGATCCTGCCTTCTTTGTGGCAACCATACATACATAAATTCACATTCACATATAAATCAGCAAGCAAAAATATTTTATACCATATTTCATGAATGTCTTATTTGATATATTGTCAGTTTTCTTAAACTTAAATTTTTTATGGTTTTATTCTTTCATAATTATAAATATATTTCACCTAAAAGTATATATAAACACCAGGATTGCAACCTCATGAAAGAAATTAGATGGGAAGGGCCAGAAGTGAAACAAAACAGTGTGCAGTATGCCATTTCTAGAAAAATTGTAGGCACAATAATAAAACTTAAAACCATGAAACAGAAATTTCTTCTAGCTTTGAATAGAATCATTGTTTGATAGTTATTTGCTCCATGGTTATCAGTTGTGTTTTGTTACTGTTCAAAGTTCCTTTCTCGAAATGAATTAACTCCTTTTACCAAAAGAATGTCTCCTTTCCACTCCCCACCAATAACCTTAAAACAATTTGAAAATCTGAAAGTAGATTTGAGTATGGGATACTAGATATTCAAATTAGATTTGAATATGGAAATAATAGAAAAAAAGTGGTAAAATCAGACTGCTTGAACTGAAGTTTGCTTAGGTGACACTAGTTTTGTTCTTCCAAGATCTTCAAAATCTACAAATACCTCCAATGGATTCCAACTCAGTATGCAATCCTCGAGAATTTCAATGTATATTTTAATATCATGGATTATGCACACTGATGTGAAAACAAAGATAATATAGGATACTAATTCCCAGAAGCCTACCTCCTTATAAACAGAACAAATATTAATGAAAAATTCTGATATAGTGAAAGAAAATATCCAGTAAATTTTCTCTCTTTATAGCACATCCAGCAATTTAACTGCCAAGAGGATTGAGTTATGGCAATATCTGGCACTTAGCAATGAAAATACAGTACTGCTTTGTTCAGGAAAGTGAATGAAGTAAACCTGAAACACGTGGCATTTATTTTATGCAGACAGTTAAGCTTTTGTATCCTGATAAAGATCTGTTGTGTTCAATTCCTATTCTTGTTTTCTTATTCTCTTCATTATACATAGTATTCTTTCATTCTGAGCTTGTTATGCTGTAAGAACATCACATACACTGCTTTTAAAACCCATTTTTATCATTATTTAACCAAGTTTCCATTTGTATGAGGTATATAAATTACTCCTTTACAAATACAGTATGGCACAATTTGAGCTTATATAATGGTCAGATCTGTATCTTATCACTTAACACAAAGCAATTGTAAACCAATTATCTTTGCTAAGAAAAGTTATGTGCTGGGGTAATTTGTCTTCCTTGAATAGATACACTGACACTGAGTAAAAGTTTACAATATTGTCAAGTCTTTGAGGCAGTTACTTTGAGTCAACAAACAATTATGTCCGGGCTTCTAGGAATGTTCTTTATTGTGGCAAGACAGCATAACAATATTTTGAAAGCCTGCCCAATTTTGTTGTGACCCATCTTATACTAAACTATTTTAAATCTCTTTTTCAGGCCTCCCTCTACCTCAGAACTGTGTGAATGGCCATTAATGGCCAGCTCCTTTCTTTCCCCACTTAATAGCTTTCTTTTATCTTCCACAAGGTCAGCTCTAAATTCCTTTACAAATACAGAGCTTACTACATTGCTACACTTACTGTACACACAGGATTAAGTATTTTTAAGGAGCCATATGCAGAAGGAAGTATAAGTTACATTAGCTGGAAGCTTCTACTTCATCCAGAAATACAAAATATGTTTCACAACCTTATTTTTCGTAAAGGCCAAACCACTACCTAACAGTGTGACAATTTTCATTTATAGTAGTGATAACAGCAATTTTAATCAGTGGGCGAGATATACTGTTGGGTCACAGTCTTTCTCTAACCCAAGTTGGTTGCAACCAAAACACCACCACAATGGGTAAGCTTCATTTCTAAATGCAGGTTTGGTTGAAACCTGATCATGGGTTATTAGAAAAGGTTGAAAGCAACTCACCTATTATGGGGATATTAGAGTGATAAATCAGACAGGTCAAAATGTAAGGAATCAGAGTTTTGACTATAGGTAGTCTTCAACTTACAACACTTCATTTAGTGACCAAAGTTACAACGGCATTGAAAAAGTGACACGACCATTTTTCACACTTACGACCTTTGTAGCATCCCCGTGCTCATGTGATCAAAATTCAGACGCTTGGCAACTAGTTCATACTGATGACTGTTGCTGTGTCCTGGGGTCATGTGATCACCATTTTGACAAGCAAAATCAGTGGAGAATAGATTCCCTTAACAACCGTGTGATTAACTGAACATCTGCAGTGATTTGCTTAACCGCTGTGGGAAAGGAAGGTCGTAAAATGGGGCAAAAACTCACCTAAGCAGAGATTTGGGGCTGAATTGTGGTCGTAAGTCAGGGACTACCTGGTATTTGTAAAAAGCCAGCGTCAAGTACGCTGTCAAGGTCTCCCCCCAGCACCCCTCTCTACCTTGCTTGATTACTAGCGAAGACCTGAAACCCTTCCCCTTCCTGCTCCAAAGGGGAGAAACCCGGGAAGAGATGCGCGAGGCTCTCATGTCTCCAGGCAGGAGCGATCCTATCGCGGGGAGGAAGCATCTTACGTTCGTTAAAAAGAAAACAGAAGGGCGGCTTTATTACGCAAAGCCCGTCCCCGGCAAGCCAATGGAAAGGTTCTTCCGCTGGACGTAATGCTTGGCGCCCTGTGTTTTTTTTTTTTTTTCTGAACCTGCTTTCTTCCCGTAGCTCTCTCGGTAGCAAAGAAAGCAGACCCTCCGCGGACCCTCTCCTTCCTACCCTCCCGCCCGCCCGCCCGCCCCTCGCAGCTCAACCCCGGGCCACCGCTCCCTACCGTAGGTCTCGGACATGGCAGTCTGCGACATTTTGGGAGCGCCGCCGACGCCACCCGGGAAACAGAGCCCGCCCGCGTCTCAGTCAGTTCGCAGCCCGAGGCTCCACCTCTGGCCCTTCCCCCCCTCCCACCACCCCGCTAATTAGGCACCCAGGAGAGAGGGGCAAGGACTTCCAACTCCCGCACGGAAACGTGCTCTCTACGCCTGCGCACGTAGCTCCTCCCCTTTTCGCTCCGCCCTTCGGGGGGGG